CGGCGCCTGGGTCCGCGCAAGCGCCTGGCGGAGCTCGGGGAACTCGCATATCCCCTGCCCAGAAACCCTGGGCGCCCCCTGCCCGCACCCAGCTGTAAGTGGTGACCTGCCGGGGCCGTCGGGCGATCTAAATGGCACGAGCACTGGGCGCGGCTGTAGGAGGCGGGAGGCGGACGGCCACCCCCAGAGCCAGAGGTTCCCTCTCGGGTCAACTAGGGGTGCGCAAGCCGAGCCTTAATCGAACGCGCCCACACTCGAGACGAGGACAGTCTCGGGACCACCCGGGCACGGCTGGATTCTTCGAAAAGACCAGCCTCTTCCTGTCCCCCCCAGCCCCGTGAAGCCCACGAAGTGCTGAGTAACGATGACCGGGAAGTATCTCGGTGTGCGCGCCCTCTGCCTCCTTTCCGGAATCCACCGCGAACGTTTTCTCCTCTCTTTCCTCCTTCCAGCGTGACACAGCAGTTTAGGGCCCGTAGAGACGGCCGGGGGACTGACTGGGCTTTAGTTCAGAAGACAGCCGCGTGTGAGATGTAAGTGCGGCCAGGGTGAGCGCTGCAACTTCGTTCCCCAGTTGTGACCCTGGGCAGGCCCTAACCTCTTGGGGTCTCAGTTTTCCTTTCTGTAAAATGGGAACCATGATGGTCTCTTTCATGGTAGTGTTGTTTTGAGGGTTAAACTGCTTGTAAGGAGACCAGGGCAGTGCTTAGCACACAGTAAACACTCGATGAATATAGAACTATTATTCAGAATTGTAACTGTGGTGTGAATACTGATGGGACTTGTTTGGTGTCTTGCAGGGCCTGGCTGAGCTTGGCCACCTTATGCAGTAATTGCAGTAGCACCAGTACACACATTTGCTTGAGTTTTTGTGTGTTTGCTCCTGGAGCAGAGAAGTCAGAGTGTTGATCCAGGGATGCACGTTGCAGGTTGCCGTCTGGCAGGAGTGGGGTTTGTCTAAGTGTGTTAGCTGGCATTGTGGAGCCAAGAAGGCCTGTCAGCAGCTGGAAGTGGAGGTGGAAAAACCTCTGGATGAGGCTGTATCTAGATGTGATTGGCTGGCGGTGGTGAAACTGCTTCCTGGCCTTTCCCCTAGAGCCCCTGGCTTCCTTCTCTCTGCTATGTCAGACAGAGAGGAAGGGCGAAACCCTGAGATTATGAACCTATTGTGCAAAGATTCTAGAGAGCTGAGGAAGCACAGGCCTTGGATGTGGATATAGATGAGGGACACATTCTAAGGACAGCCCTAGACAGAGAGATGACGGACTGCCCTGAATGCTGCAGCCTTCTCAAAGAGAGGAAGGCTGATGGGGCACAGAGGAGTCTTACGGAGCAGAATCTATAACTTGCTTTTCTGCTGCTGGGTGTTCCAGCTACATCCCAGCTTCCTGGCTTATCTGTTAGGTGGTGAATTTGCATGGCGGATGACAATAAACCCTAGAGTTGCAGCAAGGGGCAGTGCAGGTCATTCTCAGCTGACTTTGTCCAAGGACCTTCCAAATGTCCAGTGACTCAGTTGGAGAAAGTACCACCACCTCTGCAGGAACATTATAGAGTACATGTGGAGGATGGTACAATTATAAGGACCTGGGAGGCTGGGGTATGTGTTAAGACTCTGAACTCTGCAATTAGACTCCCTTAACCTCATCCCGACTACCACTTCTTGTCTGGGTAGCTCTAAGCAAGATTAAATAGCCTTTCTGTGCCTCAGTCTCCTCATCTGTGAAATAGGGATAATAATAGCTTACAAGGGTTGAGTAAAGTGGTTAGAACTGTGCCTGATGTGTAGTGAATGCTACATAAACTATGATTACAGGCTATTAAATGGAATGGTGAAATCCATCTGGAATGATGGCAGAGCTAGGATGGAAGGAGAGATAGGAAGGAGAGATTGTAAAACAGGTGTCAGTCTTAAGTGAATTAAGTAATCAGGACAGTAGTAATGCACAATGAGCTCTATAACACAGAACTCAAAGGCAAGGGGCTTTTTTCCCCTCAAAGGGTGGAAGAAAAGTCAGCTGCACCGGGTCCTAAGGAGCAAGGTTCCCTACCTACAGGGACGTGGGAAACTGAGTCCTTAGGATTTTGGTTGTGACAAGTCGGTGACATGCTGCGGGGAGAGTGAGGTGCAGGGGAATTGTTTGGGACAGCCCAGAGAGGAAGGATCCGTTTGTGCAGAGAAATGTGGGGGCAAGAGGAGGGGAGAGAGGATGAAGTAAAGGCCTTCATCTGGGAGGGTGGCTCTGGGTATTAGTCAGAACTTTCCGTTGCAGGGAGAAATGCTAGCTCAAAATGACTTAAAGAGAGTTAGTAACTCATATTACCAGGAGCTCCACGGGCCTAAGGATGTTACAGGGGCACTGTCTCTATTATTTATTCTCAGGTAGGCACTAGCTCCAGGCTTAGGCTCCTACTAGGTTAGTATCTCTGCAGGAGGGGCATCTCTCTCCCTTGTTCTCAAATGTCACAGAGGCTGATCTTCATTTTCTTGGTGATAAGAGGGGTTAACTTTGCTTGAATCCTTCTACTAGGAGTAGGGAAAATTCACGGAGTTCCCAGAGAAAGGGAAGATGGATGCTGGACTAGCAAAAATGATATTTTCACATCATCAAGAAGGCAGAAATGAGTAGCAAGGGTGATGAGCTTGTTTCAGGTTTCTGTGTCAAATCAGTCTGAGGCTCCATGTGGGACTAGAGAACTAGGTCTGCTGTCTTTGAGTTCCAGCCCAGATTGGAAGAAGATGCAGCCGTAGGACTTCTGAAAAAAGTCTTTCTCAGATCCCAGATTTCTCTGAGTGTGGTTCTTGACCACCTAATTGTGCATAGCTGGGGTTGCTTAATGATACTGCAGATTTCTGGCTCACACCCAGACAGACATGGAATCACAGTATTTTGAGGTAGAGACTTGGAATCTGCATTTTTAAAAGCATCCCAGGTGATTAGGTACACTGAGATTTGGTAAATTTTGCCATAGGATCTTTGGAGAAAGTCCAACATTAGTTAAGTTTGAAGATGGTATCTAGCAAGAAAGTTGAGATGACTCAAAAGAGAACACAGTCACTGACACAAAGTGGGGAACTCAAAGTACTGTGATAAAGAAAGTGGTGGAAGGAAAAGGAACAAATATACGTGGGTGAAATAATCATGAAGTGCCAGGCCCAGAGCTGGGTGTGTCTCATCATTGCTCTCAACATACCTTTTTATGGAGAAGGAAATTGAGGTTCAAAGAGGTCACCTAGTCACAGCAAATGCTCACTGATTCTTACGCTCTGTTCGTGAAGGGAAGTACCATCACAGTTTTCAAGCCCATCCACATATCTTGAAAATCCTTCATTTCACCAGTGAAAAATGTCTAACATCCTTATGCTAATTTGCTAATACTACAGATAACAGTACTTCCGATATCAACTATTTAGATTTTAAAAAATACATTCCACACTTTCAATGTTAAGTATTTTAATGTATATTTCAGATAATATAATAATCCCTGTGAATAACCTGCCCTGCATACCACTGCTTGTTATAGCCCCTAGTCGGCCCAGTGAGTCCCCTCCCTGCCCCCTTGAACACTTTCACTGTGTACCCTGGAACCACCTGGATTCAACAAGCCCACTATATTTTTGTCAGATGTTTCTTTTGCCTTAACCACAACTTTTGTTCTTCCTGATATGTCATTATGTGACATTCAGTGCTCCATGTATGCTAGGGCCACAAGGTCAAGTAAGTGCTTCCCATAGCTGCTTCCAGACTCTTTTTTTTTTTTTTTTTTTTTT